CACAGATTGGCTGAATCAGATTGCGTAAATGGAAAAAAAAAAAAAAAAACAGAAACCCTCTCTCTGTTGCTTACAGGAAACCCACCACGTGGATAAATACATGCATAGACTAAAAGTGAAGGGCTGGAAAGAAGTATTCCATGAAAATGAGAACCAAAAATGAGTTGGAGTTGTGACTCTAATTTCTGACAAAATAAACTTTAAAGCAAAAACTGTTGAGGAGACAAAGAAGGTTACTATATTGTAGTAAAAGGGTCAATCAATCAAGAAGTTATAACACTTATAAATATCTATGCACCTAACACAGGAGCACCCAAATACATGAAGAAAAGACTGTTAGACCTAAAAGGAGAGATAGGCAGCAATACACTAATTGTTGGAGATCTCAACACCCCACAATTCCCTCTAAACAGATCACCTAGACAACAAATAGGTAAGGAGATAAAGGATCTAAATGATAGCATAAATTAAATGGACTTAACAGACATCTACAGAATTTTCCATCAGAAAACCACAAGATATATTTTTTTCTCACCCCCACATGAAACATTTTCAAAGATTGACCACATGACAGGGCCCAAGGCAAGCTTCTACAGATTCAAAGACATAGAAACTATGTTCAGCATCTTCTCCAACCTTGATGGAATTAGACTTGATTTTAATGTTAAGAGAAACCCTCAAAAATACACAAATACATGGTAACTAAATAACCTACTCCTGAATGAGTTTACCACTACTGAAGAAATAAACATTGAAATGAAGAGATTCTGATTCATGGAATCCAATGACAATGAGGACATGAGTTTTCATAACCTTTAAGGTACAGCTAAAGCAGTCATAAGAGGGAAGTTCATAGCAATGAGTGCACATAAGAAGAAGTCAGAAAGAAGGCAAATGGATCACCTAAAATCGTGCCTCACAGAACTGGAAAAGCAACAGCAAAAAAATCCAAAAAGTTCCAGGAGAATGGAAATAATAAAGGTATGAGCAGCGAAGAAGACTCCGCATGGCTCCAGCAAACTAGGTATTTCAGGGCACACGAGAAATGAGGATTTTCTACTGATAATTCAGCCTCCAGCACATAAGCTAGTGTGGCAGGAGAAGCCAGGCCTTCAGAAAAAGACTCTGCATGCAAACGCCTGCAAACTAGGTATTTCAGGGCACACGAGAAATGAAGATTTTATAATGATAATTCAGCCTCCAGCACACAAGCTAGTGTGAGTTAAAATATTCCTCAATATCTACTGAATCTGCTGCACCAGTGATCACAACAGAAGGGCAAAGAGATTCTAGGTCACCTCTGTCTCCTTGCTCCTGAACATTTAGGCTGAAATTCAAGAGTTTGAAAGAAACACACCATCCATCAGATGACAAGAAATCACCACCGGATCACAAGAAATATGGGAAAACAAGAAAATACCTCTCCTCCAAGGGAAAAGAGTAACTCTTCTT